CCTTTTCACAGCCTATATCATTTAAATTGCATGCTATGTTCATTTGCTGATTCTTTTAGCTATACCTTCCTCTTTTTGCAAAGACAAATTTCAGTAATTTTGTAGTCCAAGTGCTGCAAGTTAACAGGTGTTTACAGAACCATGGAAAATCCAAACCCAACACCCAGCAGGACATGAGAGGAAAATCTGGGCCTGCAAAGCTAACCCCTAAAATGGGACTTTTCCCCTGGCCCACTTGGCAGTTTATGTGTGCTGACCTGTGCCACAGAGGCTGCTATTCTTCAGGAGAACATGGAGTTCTTACATGTGTTCCTTGTTTATTATGGTATTTTAGCTCTGGCCAGGACATTAGCCAAGCAAGCGAAGACTAAGCATTTTTACAAAGCAACATAGAAAATAGTTTTTTATTTCTTATGAGCTTTTGGAAAATCGACTTGAAATAGCACTAGGAAAATATGATGCTTTCCACTCCACTGTCCAGAGCCTGCTACCTTCTTGCCACCTTTGCACCTACCTAGAGAGGGCTTGGAGGGCACAGTAGATCCTTGGATAGTTCTCATGCCTGTTGTCAGTTTTAGCTTCTTAGCAGGTGAGGAACAATATATTAACCTATTTTTTAAAAAACATAAGCATTGTAAAGGAGTTTCAACTCATCAAAACTGAGTGGTAAATTACATCATTTTTTTAAAGAGCAAAGAAGGGCCCCCAAGTTATGTTACTCATAACTGAAAGTGTTGACACCCTCCATTTGGTAAAAATTTCTGATTATTCAAGTTCAAGACCTCTTTGGAGGGGACATTTTTCATTCCTTCCCTCTCTGATGTTAACTGCAACAAGAAGTTCATCTTTTACAAACAAATACACTATGTCCTTGTACCTCAAATTTCACAATTTTATTTTTACATTTCCATGTACAAGTCAATTAAAACAGAGGACTTGGGTTTGCAGAGGGATCACTGTTCATCTAGGCTACACAAATAACATTTTCTGCTCAGAATTTGAACACAGGTCTCCCAGTACCAAAGACCAAAGTCAGCTATTAACTGACATTAACAGCAATTAACAACTATTGCACTGGAAACTCAGGTGAGAAAAATTAATTTAGGAATACAGTCAATCTACATAATGAAAAGCATTCTTTCCAGTGCAAAATATAAATGTATATTCCATGTCTGTTTTACCCTCTCTATGGGGATATGTTCCATAAAATCACTCTCAAATTTTCAAGTAGATGTTAACCCTTCTTTATGAGATGGTTTTTGTTGCTTTTATTTGGTCAGTGGTACCATTACTGAACCTGTAGTAAAAAAAAAAAAAAAAAAAAAAAAAGTATATAAGGAAGAAAAAAATTGAAGAAAGAAAAGAAGAACATAAATGAGGATAAAACTCAGCATTAAGGTCCAGGGTTTGATCCTTAGTACCAGAAAACATAACTAAATATAAATTACATATATAATTCTTTTGTCACATAGTTATAGAGGTTCCAGTCAATGATTGGATAGCCCACTGATTTTTGACCTGTAGTGACACAGAACAACATGGGGTGGAGACAAACTGCATACTTCAAGATCACAAAGTAAAAATAAGAGGGAGAGAAGGGGAGGGGAAGGGAGGAGAGAGAAGAGGAGAAAGGAGGCGAGAAGGGGAAGGAAAGGGAGGGGAACGGAGGGGAGGGGAGGAAGGGGAGGGGAGAGGAGAGGAGAGCAGAGCCATGAGAGACAGCAGCAGAGAGGGTGCAGGCTGGACATAAAACACCCTAAGAAGTTTAAAGTCAGCCTGGGAAAGAAAGAAACCCTGGCGAGAAACCAGGCCCAGCAAGGTGGCTTTCAGAAGTGGCTAGATTGGAAAGTGCTGGCCGCCAGTCCAGCCTTGTGCTTAAGCCTCAGCCTGGTGTCCTTAATGTTTTCCCCAGGTATCAACATGAGCAAGAACACACCTTGAATTTCACAGCTGCCCCAGTCTGGGTGAATAAGCAGAGGGAAATGTGGAGCTGGGCAGGCAGGCCACACTTCACAAACCCACAGTCCGAAAAGCTAAGCAGAGAAAATTGTGACTTGTTGGGTTCCAAGAACCAAATCTTTGGGTCGGGGGCGGGGACACTCAATCAAAAAGATGGAGGGTTTTTTTGATTGGACTTTTTATTTGACCCAATTTTTTTTCCCATCTTTGGTTTTGGAGGTTGAGACTTTTTCTCCTTTTCTCTTTCCCTTCTTATTTTTGTTTTGTTTTTCTTTTTCCATGTTTACTCTTTTCTTTTACTTTTATCTAACACTATTAATTTACCTTTACTGTTCAATAGGATTTTTTAACAGTAACAGTATGTTTATGACATCAGCTGAGGAAGCAAAAAATTTAGGGAGTAAGAAAACAGTAATCTCTAGAATACTACTCCAAATGCTGTGTTTGTCTGTATTAAAAATTAAGCCAGTCCGTCTTCGTGGTCATCATCCCAATCTTTCTTTCCACTTGGAGGCTTGGGCCCACTGGCTGGTTTGGCCATGATGATCTGATCAACGCTATATACAGTGACTGCAGCATTAGTAGCCAAGTTGATAGCCCAGTATTTTCCCAGATAAGTATCTAGAACACCAGCTTCCAGCATGTCTTTTATAGCTGGAACTTTAGCCTCAATATCTAATCCAGCATCTTTATTTCCTTCTTGATGCATAAAGTTTAGAGATTATTTCATTGGCCTTAACCCCACAGTTCTCCACCAGTGCCCATGGGATAGCTTCAAAAGCCTCAGAAAACTTCTTGGTAGCATACTGTTCAAATCCAGAACAGGTTTCTCCATATGATGTGATCTGTTTGGCCAATTCAGTTTCTGTTGTGCAACCTCCAGGTACAAGACGTTTATCTCTTGTTAGAACTTTGAAAGTGTTAACACCATCTACTACCCTTTCTATGTCATCCACTAGATTGTCAGTAGAACCTCAAAGAACAATAGTAGAAATGGCACCATCTTCTTTTTCATGCTTAAAAACCACCACCTGTGCTGAGTCTCCACATTCTGAGAGGTATACACTGTCACAGTGTCCCATTTCTTCAAGGACAGGAGGAGTCAATCTAGGAAGAGTTGTATTACCAATTGTCTTACATAGGCTTGAGTTAAGCCTTACCAGCATGATACTATGCTTGTTTGCATAATGAAGAGCATGTCTGCCACTCTGTCACCTGTTACAATGACATTTGCACCAGTATCAGCAATAGCTCTGACTTGTACATCCATGAGATTTTCTTCTCCTTTACTAAAATTCATCAATTCTTCAGCTGTCTTTATCAATACTATTCCCTTAGTTTCTGTCATCATGCCATTAAAAGGACATGAGTACACTGCTATTTTTGCATCCTTGACCAATATTACATCACCTTCAGTTTCCTTCTTTTTTTTTGTTTTTTTTTTTGTTTGTTTGTTTGTTTGTTTTGTTTTTGTTTTTCAGAACCAGGGATTGAACTCAGGCTATTGCACTTGCCAGAGAAGCGCTTATTTCACTGACCCACCTCCTGGGCCTTCAGTTTCCTTCTTAAAAACCATGCCAAAACCTTGGTACTTGTTCACTGGGGAAAATGGTGAGGGAACTGCAGCCAGATGTGCTAGACAAGCAGCAAGGCTGGCAAGGCTTGTAACAGAGGGGACAAAGCATTCTCACTGCAGGGACAGATCAGCCAGATTCAGGTTATAGTGAATGAGTAACCTGCTCTGTAGCTAGTTCTGGGAATGATTTTTCCTCTGGAATCATGCAGGCCTCACTGGAAACATCACATATCTTAGTCTCAGGCTGGCATAGCTCATCTATCTGAATTCAACTATAGCCATTTATGATAAGCCTTGCTAGTCTAGCAGCAGCAGCCTGACTTCATGAGGACAGGTACACAGCCGCAACCAGACTCACTAATTAAACTGAAGTCCAAATAAGGAACTCACCTCTCTACAGCCTGCACTGCTTGTGAGTAAACGCAGTCACTTTTGGGTCTGGGCATGAGCGACAGGGCGGCCCTCCACAAGGTGGCTGGAAAGCTCAAGTAAGATAACTAAGCTTCTAATGGACACAGTAAACAAAGCAGTCAGAAAGTTTACAAAAGACACTAATAAAAATCTGACTGAGCTCAACAAAATGATAGAAAACATGAATGACCAGTTTAACAAGGAATTAGAGTCCATGAAAATATACCAAAGAGGAACTCAGGAGATAAACATTCTATTGAAAATACAGGCAGTCATGAGGACAGAGGGTCAAAACTCGAAAATAGGACTGATGTTGGTGAGCAACTATTCAGAGATACCTTAGAAAACAAGAAACTATAAAAAAACGTATCCAACACCTACTAGTTGATGCAAGACTAATCTAAGATTAATAGGAATTAGCAAAAAAAATCAGAAGACAGCACAAATAGTATTTAAAAACCCTGTTTACAGAAATAATAGCAGAAAATTTTCCAAATGTGGGGAAAATATTTCACTTACAGTAAGTGATGCATGTAGAACTCCAAATACACATGATCAATAAAGAACTTCTCCACAATACAAGGTAGTCAAAATTCCAGAAGTCCGACACAAGGACTGGTCTTTGAAAAGCTATTAAATAAAATCAACAAATCACTTATGAAGGTAAACCCATTAAAATTAGAGCAAACTTCCCAATGCAAATGTTAAAGGCTGGAATAGCTGGGAGTGCAGTGCTTTGAGTCTTCAAATACAATTTCCATCCCTGACTACTATACCCTGCAAAACTGTCTTTCAAATTTGATAGAGAAATATAATATCTTCATGAAAAAGAACACCTTAAGAAATTCATAGCAATCAAACCAGCTCTCTAAAAAATTCTCAAGGATATCCAGAAAAGCACAATAAAGCCAACAGTGCCAAAAACATTAATACAATAAAGTCAAAACATCTAGCAGAAAAAGTGCAACAGGCAGGATGAGCAGGTTAAGAGCAGTTATGAAGAAAAGAGGTTAGTAATAGAAAAATAATGTAATAGCAGCAACAAGTCAATACCTTTCAGTAATAACTCTCAATGTGAATTACCTCAATCCCCAATCAAAAGACACAGATGGGCAGAATAGATCAAAAAACATAATCAAATGGTCCTCTGTATACAAGAACAATAATACCCTCAAAAGAAATTCATAGACTAAAGATCCGAGGATAGAAAACAACATTCCATGAACCAGGAACCCCAAAACAATCAGGAGTAGCCATCCTGTTTTTAGACAACACAGACGTTAAGCCAAAACTGATCAGCAGTGGTAAAAAAACTCACTACATATTGGTTAAGGGGACAATTTAACAGATAACAAGTGTGAGCAAATAGGCATCAAGCAACTACATCTGCTTCAGAGTGTAGAAACATTTCCATTTTGAATGTCATTAGAATTAACTTCAAGATAGGCATCACAGAGGTTATAATCACATCAGGGTCTGAACGTCTGCAGGGAACCAGTGCAGACCAGGAGGAGGAGAAGCTGTATTAAAAAAGACTATTCCCTCCTTTGTCTCTGAGTGGTGTGTCCTACATTGAAAAAAAATTACAGAAAGAAATAATTTTTGTTTTCTTTTGAGACCGAATCCTGATGTAGTGTTCAATTTGGCTGTACCTCTTGGGTACAGCTGATCCTTCTGCATTAGCTTCCCAAGTAGCTAAGGTGTGCACCATCACACCTGCTGAGAGAGTCACGACAATGATGAAACATTTGCTCTTTTTGAATGTATGTTTTTCGAAAGAACTGGTGAAGTGGCTGGGGTGGTCAGCTTCCGGGAAGGCAGCGATCCCTGGCTCCTGCAGTCTTGCCTGTGCACTCAGGCTGTGCTGCTCCTGTCTCATACCCACTCACTTTACCTCCTCAATCTACACAGGAAAAGACAGCAAGGAATATTTAACCTACTGTCCTTTTCCATTTGGATTTTGGACTTGATTCCTTTTGTGAGGAGCTAGCATTTTCCACTAAGTGTAAAAGTAGAAAAGTAATACCTACTATTATTATGTTTATTCATTTTTTAAATTTGTTTGTTTTGCTGCTACTGTGGAGTGACAATCAAAGTGTAAGCAGTGTGCCCAGGACACAGAGGAGAGAGCTGAGCTGCTCTTGCTTGACTGGACTCAGGCAAAGGGACTCCAGGGACAGAACTGGTATCCTGACAGAACAGACCTCACCTCTGCGGGGACATCTGGGCAGCCACCCATGCAGTGGACACCTCTGCCTGCCTTTTCTCCCTAATCCTCATGGTGGTCATAACTAAAGGCGCTGGCCACACATCCTCAGGGTTGTTTCATGCTCTGTGAAGTGCACTGTATTTTGTCTGTACTCTTATAATGGTCTTTTATCAAGGTCCCTGAGTTTCTACGCAGGGGAAATTAATGGTGTCCATGAAGACTAGATGCGGTCCTTGGCATGGTCCACGAAATCTGGCCCCAGGCCTCAGTCTGTACAGCAATTTGCAGCCCCGGGAAGGCCTCCCCAAGGAGGGGTGCATGGTCTGCGCATATTAGCTTCCTCGCTTGGCATTCGGACTATGCACTTCCTTCCTTCTCACACAGCTTGGGGATGCCTGTGTATATCCCTTGGTGTTGGGGCCTGGACCATGGCCACAGGACCAGGCGGGGCAAGCTGGCTCTCCACAGGATAAGTGGGCCTTGGAGTCCCCCTGCAAGCATGGGTAGAAGCTTTAAATGAGCACAGTATGTTCTCTTTCAGCCAGAGAGCAGTATGTCTTTTCTATTCAAGCATATTTACAGCGAGTAGTGATTACACTAGTGGGGACCATTGTACATGCACCTCTTGTCTCCATCCTTTTACCCCACGCCTCTCCTTCCCTCCACTCCCAAGCACCCCTGCTGAAATACGTGGGGCACAGGTTAAACATCGTGTGTTTTTTCTCATATGAAAGTATAAATAAAGAGCAAGACTAAAGGCGGGTGATAGGGCCCGGGGAGGTACACTGTAGTAATTCTACGTATCAGGAGCTACTAGAACTCACACCCCCCTGTGCAACCCAGCTCCTGAAATCCCCGCAGCGCCGTGAGCATGTGCAGACATTCTTGCGTGGACCGAGGAGGTGCGGATGTGCATGTGCAGCCCTTGCTCCCAGAGCAAAGTCTTGCTACCGAGGTGCTTCTGCCCTTCTCCTCCTGGGCCTGTCGACCCTGTGCAGGGAGGAGAGTTCAGGGTCACCACGCCACCTGCTTGACTCGGGCCACCCTGACCTGCTGGACTATAGCTCTGGAGCTGGTCGCCGGGGCCTCATGGAGACCGGGCAGTGACCCGGGATTGGGCTGCCGTCGACCTCATCTGCGCATAACCTTCTGTTGCATTTGTGTCTCACTACAATTAGAAAACATGAAAAAAAATAGCGTACCTATGAGACAATTGCGTGAATTACATTTCTCCCATCCTTGAGCTCTGGGTTGCAGGTTAGTCAGTTTCCATAGACGCAGGACCCTCGACGTGGTTCACAAGGACAGGGCTGTCACCAAACTGGTAGTGCAGCTTCCAGAACATGGAACCACATTGTGGGGCAAATGCAACCAGGCTGCTTAGACTTAAAAAAGCAGATAACAAAGCTCAAGCTGATCAGTTATCAAACACTATATATTGGGCAAATAACCAAAATAATCTTCATAATCAATGCCACAGTGTGCTCTTGGTTCACATTTTGGAAAGTGAGGATTGAGAAGGGACTGGATGCGCTGCTACTGAAGAGAAGCCAGGATTACTCCCCGTGCCCCAGGACATCTCTGCAATCATCCTGGGGCAGGTGCGGGTGGCTTGAACAGGCTGTGGCAACAGCACCGTGACAAGAGGCATATTCTGGGAAAGTTTTGAAGGCATCTCAGCAGAACTGCCTGGGGGTCCATCTGGCTGTGTGGGGTAGAGAAAGAGGGGTTGAGGATGGCCTCTGGGTTTTGGGAGGACTAAAGCTGTCACGGTGTGGGGCTGGGGAGGTCGCCATGTTCTACAGAGGACTCAGCAACGCTCTTGCTTTGCACACTAAGAGTGACACTGTAGGTTTAGGTCTGGCAGTACTGTGAGTGGTGGGGACAGCATCAGGACCCGGTGATCTGGAAGGAGCCCCACACCCTCCCCTCCACAGCCCTCAGGTGCATGGAGGAGCAGTGAGCCAGTCCTCTGGGACAGCTCCTCTGCAGAATGGCAGGAGGGCTCAGGAGGCAGGCCCTATCCTGGGGAAGCGAGGGCTGGTGCCAGTGGAATTCCAGCAGAAGCTGCTTCGTCTGCCCCTTGAGCCACAAGGACTGAGGGACTCTGGTGTGACAGGGCACATGGAGCAGGTTGTCCGTCCTTAGCACTCTTCCCACTATACCAGGGGGTTCCAGCGTGCCTGCCGAACATGCAAGGCATGGTTTGTTAAATAAGATAAAATAC